TCAATTACAGTTCACCCAATTCGGTTAAACATCCTATCTTTGCGATCATGGTGAACAAAAGAGAAAAGGAAATAGAAAAGAGCGGCGATTAAACAAAGCATGGGACTTACTGCTTTGCAGAGCGCACCAAATGCACGCATCAATGAGGTCGACAACGGTAGCTACAGGACGGGGAGTATCAGAGGTACTAATCGCGGACGGTGTAGGCACCGTATTGGTCACCGCAGCACCGGGAGCATTCGTGGAGCTCTTGAAGGCATCTGGCAGTTGAAAGAAGAGCGCACACAAAAGCGGCCTGCAAATGACTGAGGCGGGCGTGCGGATTGGCAGGGAACCGACTGGCAGAGCGCTGCTGCTAGCAGGCAAGGTGCTGGTACGAGACAGCCAACAGATGAGCAGTGCGTCAAAGAGGGTGGATACACAGGTGCTGCGTTCTGAGGCCATAAGACGCCCACCCTCGGTGCGTATTCGAAGGAGGGCTTCACACAATTCGACAGCCTCGGAGAAACCCTCAGATTCAACGGGTTCTAAAACAATTAAAAAAAACTATTCAGTAACAGTGCTAACGACCAGGAGAAAGGCCATGCTTGCAGAGGGTTGATTGGAATGTGGAATAGTGAGGATTACGTAAACAGCAGAATAAATTGGATCCATAAAGTTCGAGAGTGCTCATCAGCTGCGGCCTCTCGTTGAAAAACGTAAATAACATGAGAATGTAAAAATTCAATTTGTGCAGAAAATTTGATGCAAACAGCAAGTTCATAGAAAATAGCCACGAACACTAATCAACAACGTAAGCAAGATAAAACACGGTAGGAATCAAAATAGGGGGAAAACGTTTAAGACAAAACGTTGGGCAGGGATATCCGTAATCAGGTAGCCGGATGTTACCACGGCAAACTTAGGTTCACCACGTGCTCCATCTGTTTACATAGGTAGAGTCTAAACCGTCTCCAGGTAGCGTAAGGTACGAGTTGTTCATGCCCGAACAAGTACACGAAAAGAAGTTTTGGGATCCACAGAATGGCTCGTATCTAGCAAATGCTCAGTAAAAGATGGACGAGGAGTTCTATTTTCTTGTTTCAGAAACCATCTAGGCAATTGCTCTTTGGCTCTGGTTGCCAATTGCCGTTGCGTTCGTCCAATGAAAATGTATCCGCAAGTGCATGCAAATTCGTAAACACAATTTGAAGTGGCGTGCAACGGCAAGGAATCCTTCGCACATGGACAGCGCAAGGGCTTTGTTGGAATGTTTAC